ATGCACTCGACGGCCTCCGCGGGCTGGCGGCGGATCGCCTTTTTCTCGCCCATCCACGACTGCACTCTACTCGGCCCCGAGGTGTGATGCACCCAGACCCAGACGGCGCGCAGCCGGGGGATGATTAAAGCACTCGTGAGGCGATGCTGGCGTTTGATAAAGATGGTGATTTTTATGAGGCAAGGACTTTTTGCGGGCGTGGTGCGCTGGTTATTGTATGCAAATATGACGGTGGGGTCATGCGGCATAACAGCGGCAAGTGTGTGTGTGTGTGTGTGTGTGTGTGTCATTATGCTTTTCGTTCGACACCCTGTATATGACGATGAGCAGTCGCTCCCACGTGGGAAAGCTCTCTGTACCCGGTCGGCCTTGTGACCCATACACACTCGTCGATACTATGAAGCTCGACTAGCTGTTACGTGAAAGGGAATGTGTCCGGAGTGCTCTCGGAATGGAACGGTCACTGTTTGATCTTCCCGTGGTATAGGTTCACAATAATGAAAAGAAGGAACGACACTTTATAGGCTACTCTGACATGATACAGCACCGTTTTAATCTTTTCTTTTCGTGAAGGTGGAACGTATCTGCCCCTATAGCTTTACCAACAATCCCATACGTGCTTCGGTGTGGTCTGTGGTCAATAACACTCTCTCCTTCTCCCGCCCGTCCTGTGCTGCACGATTCTGGACAAGACGAGGTGAGTGCCTCCGCGCCTCGCTCCGCGCGGTCCGAGAGGCAAAAACGACTGCAAAACGCAGCCTTGACTTTTTTTACATATATATATTTTACCCAGTCGGACTCGTGCTTCATGCTGTTTGATTGACGCGATGTGTGAGGAGGACTTTCACTCCCCGGCCTGCCGTGCGTTCGGCTCGCCCCACCCCGCCTTCATAAGGGCGCCCACCGCGCCACACGGGCCCGTGGCCATGGGCCGTCGAGGATCGCATTTCCTTTATCGTTGGGCGCGCAGCATCCACATCACCCGCGAGGCCAGGCCAGTAAACGCATCTCAGTTTTCTTCCCCCTCGCCAGCATGTATCTGAGAGGTTTCCCTTTACGTCCGCTTTTTTTATTCGTCTGAATCGCGGCCGATTTGCGGGTTGCCTCTGATTCTTAAAAGGTACACTCTAGACTATATTGGGACATTAGCGACAATTTTCACGTTCTGACCTGGTACAGATTGTCCCCAAATGTGCTAACAAATTAATTGGTCCGAAGGAAATTGATGTGCCTATAAAGCTCGTTAACTTTTCATGATGAAAAATTGACCTTTATCTACTGACTGATAGAGTGTGCGTGGAATTGCGGGAGGTCCGCAGACTCGACTGCTCTTGCTGCCACGAAGCTCGATTCCACTCTGCTACTGATTGGACCCGACCAGGAGGAGCTTCCTCTCCGGCTCGCGCACGTTTAGACTGTCTGACCTCTGCGCTGTTTGCGTTGTGCGCCTTGCCTTCTCACATTTCTTCCTCCGTTTTGTTTTTCGCTGCGCCTGTGGCTGTGACCCAGTACGAGCTGACCACAGCGGGACTAGGGTCGCGCGTGGAACAAGAGGGAAAGGGAGAGAGAGAGAGAGAGGCTAAACCGTAAAGCGTTTTGCTAAGACATATATAAGATGAGACAGAGATGGGTATCGAGCAGGTGTCTTGCCGAATGGTCTCTCGGGGCCACCTTTCACTATCAGAGAGCTACATTCACACTAAAGTGGGCAGGGTCAATTTTTGTACCCATCTTCAGATGTGTGCTTGTGCACATCTTATCTTAATCAGGTACAATTTTTGTCTCTGAGAAAATACAATGTGTACCTGACCTAGGTGCAAAGTTCTGTTTTACTTGTCCCCTTGTTAGAAACAGATTTGTAGCTCATAGAGATGTGCACACGCACACTCGCACACATCGAAGACAGGCACGAAATTTTTCCTCCCCATTTAGAATCTATTTTGTGCTTTCACCACCGCTGGAAAAGCTTGCAAAACTGTTCCGGTCTTGTACTGAAAGCTTATGGTAGCGAAATATATTCTGGGTCGCCATTGTTTGTGCGCCGCGAGTGGCTTCAATCGGTTACCATTATCAGAAAAATCGAGAGAAATGAAACTCGAAACTTGTGCTTCGTTTCCTGCAGTGTGCGGCACGCACACGGTGGGCGCGGCCTGGCTGGAGCCTGGCTGGAGCGAGCACCTTCCCGACTGGACTGACTGGCGTGTACGAATTCCAGGCCTCTGGCCTGGGGCGGTCGCCTCGGTTTGGGTGCTAGTTGCTGGTGTAAGGGAGTATCGCATCAATGTTGCCAGGTCGGACGCCAGGCTGCAAATACGACTTCATCCGCATGTCCCATGGGAGCGAGCCAAAGGCAAGGTGCCACAATGCCTAATCGTCACAAAAATGTTGTTCAGGATCTTGGCAAAAAAATCTGCATACTAAAGAACATTAAAACGAAGCCTTTCAGCAGGCTTTTGTTTGTAGCCTACACCAAATACGATGAGACAATTAATGTTTCTAGAAAGGTGACGTTATTGTACGCATCATTTTCTTTGTCTAAAATAGCTCGCCAAATAGTACCATATCCGCCATCGGTAAAATTTCCATCCGATCAGGTATTAATTGTTTTAAAAATGTTACAAAGCTGTACTTATTTATTTGGCGTGTGCAATGAAATGCTTCGCTTTTTCGCTCTTACAAATCACTGCACATCATAATTGAGTAAATGCTTTGCAATTGCATGGCAAGTGCTTTGTAGTCTACGAATTCTCTGGCTTAAGACTGCGCAGGCTTTGTGAGGATTTAACAGCCTTTCCAAAGAGACTGTGAGCCACGCGGGGCTCGAACAGGAGCCGGGAAGAAGCGGAGGGCAGATTGGTTCTACGTGGTAATGACCGCCATAATCGAAGTCGTTAAAAGATAGACTCCACACCCACGTGTATCGGGCGTTCGGTCCTCCCTCCTCCCTCTCCTATCCACCTCTGTTCCTCTGATTCCACTCTGTGTTCCTCCTATCCCAAAGAACCGTACAAGGAAGAAATACTACGAGCTTGCTTCCACCCTTCTGCAAAAGTTTATATCATAGGTAAGAGTTTGTGCACTCTTTGATCTGGTCGAAAGCATTCACGGTTAAAACAATATGTCTCAGTTTTTGAGGGAAAAGGGAAAACTTTGAGGAACTCCCATGTTTGAGGGAGAGTCCTCCGATCTCGCCCCAGATTTTGAGGAATCTTTTTTAAAAAAATGAGGAAAAATCCCCCCATTTTTTTGAAGACCTCCTCGAAATCTGAGGAGTTTTCGTCAAACCAGGGGAGTTCCTAAAGTTTTCCCTTTTCCTCAAAAAATGAGACATTGTTTTAACGTGTTTAACGGAATCATGTAATAAATGGGTTGAAATAATAAGTGCACTATGTGTTCCCTGAAGCCTCTCTCTCTTTCTTTTTTTTTTGACGTGCGTAAGTGAGGTACCTTGTCCGATGTCTTAACGACGCAGCTTGTCTAGTGACACCGCCCGGCGCACACGGCATACTGGGGCACAACAGTGAGGCAACGATTGGAATGGACCTATGTCCACTGCACGGCAAAAGGAGAACTGGAAACTGGTCCACAGCCATTGCCGACGTGGCAAAAGGAATCGATTAAAATCATACCCTTATCACCTTTGATTTTACCAATCCCTCCCAAAAAATCGCAGTAAACTTTCCAGTGTTTCAGTAAACCAAAATAAAATGTACAGTTGAATTCCTATTTCTAAAAGACGTGTGCAGACAGTGCGTGTATCATTACGCTGCCGTATTGTGTTCGAGCGAAACGTAAATTTAATGATTCAATATGTCGAGATGATGTTGGCACAGCACCCCGAGATGTTCTATTACAGCAGCAATTCACTTTCCTCTCTCTCCCACTCCGGGCGGAAGAGCTCACGACCTCATGTTAGCACCTGGTCTGGTCAAGGGCCTGGGCTGCAGGAAGGAGAAGGGAGGGGGAGCGGGGGGGGGGGGCATTAATCGGTGATTAGGTTCACCGTACGCTTTGTGTCTTTTGTTTGTTTTTTTCTTGTGCCATCGAACCGCGCGGTCATGAACAAATGCATCGGCCTATCAATTTCACTCTTTGTGATGAAGCGAGGGGGGAATGGACTGAGGAGGGAGGAGTGGGTGGGGTGATGCCGGCTGATGCGCGCCGATGCCCGCGCCAGCAGCAGCGTGGTTGTGGTCACCCTGTAGATGGGAACGTCTGCTCATTAATATCTCTGTTGAGGGGATCGGGAGGCCAGCCTCTCGATTTCTCCAGCCCAATTTGTTTTCGCCGTGTGTGTGAGTGTGTGTGTTGGGTGGTGTTGGGTATGTGGGAGAGGCAAGAGAGATGGGTCACGTGGGCGTTGTAAATACGTAATTCCAGTATGTGTTAACTCATTTTTTTTAATTTTTTGCTTGGGCCCCGGTGTTGTTGTTGTCGACTTCTTGTAGGTGGGTGAATTCCATTTGTTCTGGTGATGGGTTTGCGTTAGACAGCTTGATTGGATCCTAAATGTCCTAATTTTGCCAGGACGAACTTACACCTCTAGCTGCGAGCTTTAAACTCGCTTTTACATATGGGACGTCGACCAGACGCGTCTTAACGATCAGACTCGCCTCCGGGCGCCTCTGCTCTTTCGTAATACTCACACTCGCCTCTAATCGCGCGCCCCAACATTTCCACCGAACCTGAATACATTAGGCTCGTTTTCAATCTCTATCTTAATGAATCTCCTCTCTGGCGGGCGCGGTCCGCCGCTCTTTGGCATTCCTCGCGATGTAAGTGTGTGAGAACGACGTGAGCAATTGTTTTCTCCTGCCAGTTTTTTTTTTCTTTTCGGAAGCTGCGCGCACCCACCCATTTCATACACGGTGCTATCTGGCCCATCGTAGTACACAGTGGGCCTAGATAAGCCGTGTGGCCGCACCCCGTCCCGCCACGCCCCGCCAC